AAATGTTCAATAGACGGTTTGATCCTGCTGGTGGTGTGACAGTATGTGAAATCTTGAGCTAAACTATAAATGAATTCCTACATGGTGTATATCTTAATTGCTGGACTCCTGGGCACCTAAACAGAGAAGTGTGAATATGAGCATGAGTTAGCTTGTTTGATTTTGTCTGTGTGAGGCTGGAAACCTGTTGTGTAGTGCATTCTGGGACAGGATGCAGCTCTAACTATGAGCCTAAAAAATATATAAATAAAAAATAGTTTTTATTTACTTCAGCTTAGATTGTAATTCATTTTTTAATTTTTTTGTTTGTTTTGTTTTTGTTTTTCAATACAGCTTATAATTTACGAAGATAGATAGACATTTGAGCACAATACCACCTGCTTTCTAGTTTGAATCCTCAAATGTATTTTTAAACCGTACTCAACTATACAACAGAGGATATAAATTTGTGAAGGATATAAATTTGTCAGGGGGTGTTCTCACATATATTCTCAGCAGCCAACATCATGCACCTCCATGACTAGAACTTGGCTCAGGCATCTTCTCTCTCATCCAGTCAGTTCTTTTATTTATTTATTTATTGTGCCTCTTTCTGCCTCCCTGGTGTGTTTAGTTGGTCAGGAGGCCAGAGCAGGGCTGCTGGTGGCAGGAGACAGCCGCCAAAGCTGTTTTTATTCTGCCAGGATATCCTCTTGACTTGACATGATGCCAACAGTGACCATCACATGTAGTAATCTTGCATAGGTCAGGGAGCAGCTGGGTGCACGTGCCATGCATGCCCATCCGCTCTCTTAAGTAGCCTGAAGTAGTGCCAGGGTCAGAGCTTAAGCTTAGCTGACTAGCTGTGCAGCCACTCCCTGCAGACACTGGGTCACAAATTGTCAAACGTAATGATATATCTTTAATGAAAAGACATTTACTCCAGACTCATTTTCCAAAAAACAATAGCTGAATTGTCTTTTATTAATCAACAAGTGAAATTTAAGACAAAAGTTGGGAAAAAATGAAGTTTACAGTCTTGTAGGCCAAGTTTATCTAAGTTTCTCTCCTACAAAGAGCCTAGATACTGATTTCCAATAGCCATTAAAGAATAGTACATAGAAATTCCTTTATATACATCACCCCACCCACCCTGACACTTCAACATTAATTTACATCCTCCATCATCAATCAGTTTATCATCAAGTCTCATTTTATTTCAGAATGTTAAAAACAACTGCAAGCAATTATTTATAAAAAAAATGTTCCACTAAAGCATTTACCTTCTTTGTGCAAGAACATGTCAGATAATTTTTCACATTAGATTTTTTAAATTGCCATAATTTGACCATTTGTTGCACAAGGATAAATTCGCCACTTAATGCAGAGTTGGGGCTTTTTCTTATAAGTAGTCCAAGGTTTTTGAATAAGAAATTGATGCATCGGCCCCCATATTGCCTACATCAGAGTTTGCCATCCAGGATTAATTGAGAAGGTGTTTGTCTCACCATTAGAATTTCTCACCACTGACGCCCAGGAGTTCACACAGTAAAACTACATTGCAATGATGTCAGCTGTCCGTGTAGCACTCTGCTTTACAGCAGACTTGCACTCACTGAACGAGCCTCGTGCATAATTTTGCAGCACTGTTTACGTTACTGTTAACTTAGAAGCCTTGTAAAACAGATCTCATCTTTTCATACTTAGGAGGTGAAAATAGGCACCAATATGTATCTTACCAGATTTCCAATTAACCCTCATTTGATAAAACAGATTACATTATATTGTTGACTTTTGGGGTTTGCATATATAAGCCATGCATTTCCACTCTGAAATAGAGATGTGCCCTGAAAGTTAACCAGTAGTTATCAGCATATAACAATGCTTTGGCTTTTTTATTGCTTTAAACATATGATATGCTGCATAGGAGATATTGACCAATCAGTTATCAGTTATTCTTAAAACAGCATAATACAGTAATGCTGAATATGATTGTCTGTAATAAATAAAAAAATATATGTATAAAAATCCAGCACATGCAAGTTCTCAGTCATTGCACTGTCCACTCTGCACAACTGGTCAGACTCAGAAGTCATTATTCAGGCCTGTTGCCAAAGAGTTCTGCTTTCCTGAGTTTTATGGCTTCTCCCCACAACAGTTTACCCCGGTGGCTAACATGGCTGGATTCCAGCAGCAGGAATACAGTTGACACAGACACAGGTGATTAAAGATTTTTTGACACCCTTATGCATGTATAAGCCGCTTTTTTCCCATGCACAAGGCGAGGCCCCTGCTCTGTATGACCTAGAAGAAGCTAGACTGGATGACCCAGTGGTCATCCTAGGAGCCATCTGGCAACCCGCGTCTTGTGTGGCTTACCCTTCCCACTGCCTCACGCAATTCCTTAAGCAAGCATAAGTGTGCTTAGGAGGACTTAATCTCAGAGAAACTGGTTTGGGCCACACTGTTGACTGCCAATGTGGATGCACCCGACTGTTAGGTCATGGGGTTCCTTCAGTCGTGTAACACTGAGACAGTGTTTTTGGCGATGTATCCTGTCCGCCTGTTGTGTGATTAAAATCTCTGGATAGAATGTGCCCTGTCAGTGAAATGTGGTCTGTATGAAGGTGTTCATACCGACTAGGTATTAAGTATATAGGGGATTCTTTAGTATCTCAGACTACTCGTGTTATCACGAGTGCACAGCTGTAAAGCTGCACTGAAAACTTAATAAGTCGTCTGGTGTCATTGGTAAGATCAGTTGTCTGTTGCATAGTACTAAAGAAGGCATTTGCTGCACTGTGAGATGCCCCTGGGTGTGTTCTGTTGGTCTGTGAGGCAAGGAGGGGAAGTGAGAGAAGCTTGAGCCTGTCTGCACTTGCACAGAGGTCACTGCTGGCCTTTTGACTGTCTGCCAGTGCAGGGGCCAGAGTCTTCCAGAAGAGGGCCTTGGCTACAGGCAGACAAGTGAGCCAGCCAGCCAGACAGGCAGCCAGCCGCATCGTCTGCAGTCTAGGTCTGGGGCTACAGGCTGGACTAGGGCAGCTCAAGTTACCCAGACAGATTTGTTAACACTGTTTGGGTCCGCTCGGCTTTCTAGCCAGGCCTCTGAGCCAAACGCGGCTGAGGTGACTTAATCTGTCATTAAACTCACATTACACCCGGACAGAGACTCGGCTCAGGGGGGCAGAGACAGCGCTCACTCTCCCACTCACTGGCATGGCTGGCTGGATTTGAGCAGACACAAAGAATACCCCCCTCCTCCGCCACCTCCTCCTCTTCCCCATCCTCTTCATGCCACACACCATGGCACAGCTAGACAGCCCAGCACGGTCTAGACAAAAGCAATTTCACTTGAAGTTGAAAAGTCATTTGACTGTGTGACGGGCACCTGTGTGGAGTTGGTGGTGTTTACAGGGTGCACAAATGTATTTGTCTTCTTGTGTTGCTTTCACAATACTGAGGTTATCTGCTATTTTGATTTCTAGAATTTGTTCAATCATCAGTCTTTGTTTTATATTTGCAGAAACATGTAGAAATACAGAAAATCTGATCACTAAACAGATTGAAACCATAATTACTAAAGTCATGAAATGTTGACATGTTTTAAATGCCTTCGCAGCATTGGTAATTCTGTATTAATTGTAGAATTTCTGCTTTCCAGCCTGTGTCCTTTGACACACACACACACACACACACACACACACACACACACACACACACACACACACACACACACTGTGACAACCAGATTACAATAATTAGTACAAAATGCAATAAAAAAATCTGCTTTGGGTCAAGATCTTCATATTTAACAAGTAAAGATGACTGAAGAAAAAGCCCTTTGGATTTTAACATCGTTCATCACTGTTTTAAAGGAACTAAGAACACTTTACCCAAATACTGATAACTCAGTGTGGTAGACATTCTTCAATCTAAGTGTGAAACTGACTGAATAAGTATACATGGTTGGGAATTGTAGTTTTATTGTATCAGTGACATTAGTGGCATTTTAATGTTTTTTTCTCAGGGCTGCTGACAGAACTCATTTGTCTCTGTACATTCTTCACTCCCTATCAGACAAACAGGAGGCGATGGCTGAACTTCGTTCACATCGGGCAAACGAAATTGCTTCCATTACTCTCAGCTTAAAAATGTCAGAAACCCTAACAACCTGCAGCACCTTCAGTGGAGGTCTAAGACATTGTTTCTCTCTGCTGAGATTTGTTTTTACGTAACAGCTGGTTCTGGTTCTCCCCCCGACCTCACTGCACCCCCACTGTCATGAGCTGCCAACAGCCAACATATGAACTTTATAATCAACTGTTACAAAGAACAGTGCCAAACCAATAAGCCACATATTTCTCAGATAAGAAGATTGTTTTATTTCATGTAGTTTTATTCTGTTTTACTTTAGTACATTTGGTTGCATTCTGGTGTAAATCCGTGTTTGGATAGTTTCATGACTTCATGTATTTGTGAGTGATTATGTGAAGAAAAGACATCGTGCATGGGAAACTACTTGAAGTGTGGATGGGGATGATACACAAGGACCTTCGTTTTTCTTTTTTAATGTTCTTGGTCTCAGAGGACGAGTGTGGTCTCTGAAAACTGTAATGCAACATTAAAACCAGGGCTTTTCTCAAACTTGGTCAACATAAAATTGCAAAAATGGTTCTGGCTGAATCATGAAAAGATGCTGGTCTGAAAACATACTGAAACACAAGGTAATATGTGGTCACTGAACTCATCTGGTGTTATGTTTGTTTGCAATTTTAAAAAAAAGTGCAGATTATTTGCTGTAAACAGCACATGGTTTGAGAGTAGTGTTGCTGCTTTTCATGTAAAAAATGAAAGAAGATGTTCTGCTGATAATACAGCTGCTGATATTTAAATGATTTTTCTGTGCAAGTGTCCTAAAAACAGCAACCGTTATTCCTACTTAATTGCTAAATGTGATCATTTCTTAATGTGTAGAGTGAGACATAATGTTTGAATTGACCATATTCTCTGTTCGGCAGATCAAGAAGTACTTTGAGCTGGAGCCGCTGGCCCGAGGGAAGCGCTGGATCTTGGAGGGCAGCACCACCGACAACATGGAGGCAGTGAAGGAGAGCTTTGGTCAGTTCATTAGCCTGTTGGAGGACAAGGACACAGAGCCTGCAAGGATATGATGCTAACACTGCTAATGCAGAGACATTAGCGGCTAACGACAAGGAAACACCGCATCCTGATGGTGCCCATGTTCACACACTCATGCACAGACACAAACATGTACACATAAGAAAATTCAGCAGATGTGGGCCTCTCTCTTCGAGATGTGTATTGTATGTTATCCTTCACTGAGGTCTCATTTTTCAAATTGGAAGAGTGTGCACAAGCAACAGTCAGCCACTACAACCTGACAGAGGAGAGCTGCCATTAAACCCACCCGATGTAAAACAGTTTGTCATGAAAAATCATTGAACTTTGCCAGGGATGGAAATCTTGTTTACTACTGTGCCATTGTGATTAAACCAGTGGCATTTGGGACGTATGGCATTCCTTTAGTCATCGTTGGACACTAACACACACATTCTCATTCTCAGTCTCACACACACACACACACACACACACACACCCACACACACACACACATACGGTCACACACAAAGTGGAGCCCAGGTTGTCTGTAGATATGTTTAACGTCTCCACTAATTACTTTACAGGATGTTTGGGTGGGCACGGTTGATATCCTTTCCACTGAGAAGTACTGTATGGCTGTCAAGTGTGCTTCTCCTTTTGACTTGGCAACAACGAATGTCGTTGTGTGGTCGGAGTGCATAGTCCAAAGCCTTGTGTTATGTACGGTAGTTACATATCGGTGAGTCACACTGTGTCTGAATATCTAATCTGAATAGTGTAGTCTGAGTATCTCATGGAGTATTATGTACATGCAAAGAAGCATGTTGCTGTGTACCCTCCTGTGCCGCCATACACAAGTACTACTTATCATGTGACTAAGTGCTAGGTGACTTTATGGAGTCGTGAGTCCATTTGGAGAACGTGAGAACAAGTCTGAATGCTTTTTATAAATGTGCAACTTACGATATATTTTATAGCTCTGTATGTTAACCTCAAAGAGCTACGTTCAGATTTTTTATATATCATACCACACCTATGACTTCTTTCAAATCAAAGACCAAAAAACAAAAAAAAAAAACAAAACACAGTGATTATTGACTGGGCTGGGTGTAGCCACAAGGTAGAGAAATGTGATGGATTTAGCTTCATTTCAGTGTTTAGCAAATGTAATATTTGTGTATCTGCATTTTTACTGTATTTTTTTTTTCTTCTGAATTTGACATAATGCCTCTCAACACTGGCGAGCGCCTCCAGTCTCCCATCAGGGTGGAATACAAACTCTATCAATCAGCCACAGCAACAGCTGCATCTGACAAGTCCCTGTCCGACACCCTAATGCCTTCCAACTGTCTGTGAAGACCCCTCCCTGTCTGCTGTTTATCGTGGACCCCCACCCCACCTCATCCCAACCCATTCCAACCAACGTTGCCCCTCCACTCCAGCTCCGTTCCCTGTCCCCATTACTGCTCAGTGGGGTTTTTTATCCCAGATGCCATCTTTCAGCCCGGCTGCTCTCGTGTGGACTCCAAACGTCTAAAATGAGTCGTATTCATTGTGCCACAGGTGTGTGGTTGTTCCCCAGGATGTGCTTCAGTAACGGATAAAGTTCACACCTACTTCCTGTGTGCTTTGCATTTTTGTTGTTGTTTTGTTCAGTATTTTGTCAGGTTTTTAGAGATTGAATCACTTTTTGTACCTGACTTGAGATCTGCCAGGTAATGTTTACAGTCCGCATGGATCATTGCATTCGGTTGCTTGAATGCGAAATAAATCTTTCGACTAGGAGGGTTTATACCAATGCCGGACTGCTGACACATAGGTTTTAAAACATTCACTGCAGTCTATTTTGTTTTTTTGTTTTTTTTGTATCTTTGTTTGTTTTTTCAATCATACATTTTGTCTAAAATGGCAATTAAAGTTTTAAAAATTAAAATATTGTCTTAGTTGTTATTTACATCTTGATTACTTTTGCTTATTAAAATGTTGTAGTAAACTGTTTAATATATCTCACGTTGAATGCCATAATGTCTTTTTAATATATAACCTGATAATGGGGGGTATGGATGACAGTTTCTAGGTTTGTTAAAGAGTATAAATATTTTCTGTATTCTGAGAACTAGTGAAGAGTGTAGCATTTCATCTGTTTGTGACCAGAAATTCATTGAGACCAGATATGAATTTAGAGACTACGGTGTAGGTCTGTTTTCAGTAAATATTTGTACAATTTGATATTAATACTTCATGTATCTGTATGAAATGTGTGATGAGTTGAATGTTTGCCCACGTTTCTGGAAACATTTTCTTCACAATGTCTCTGATTTGTGATTTAAGGTGGAAATCTGAGACGCTGGAAGATAATCAGGAAAACGCAGATGAACCAGTGGAGGTTGAGCCAAAGTAAAAAAAAATCTAAAAAAAAAAAACCTCAAAGTCAAAGTGGAGCAGCTGAAGAAAGTTCTGAGTGGAAAGTTAACCGAGTGAGACAGGAGTTCTTGATAAATATACTCTACTCTGTGCTACCTCTGCCTCCCCTTTTCTTCTCCTTTTGCCCTTCTTCCCTCTCTTTCAAATTAACCGTGTGGCTTTAATACAATGTGTGTCATGCAGGTTGCCCTGGCGACTCTTTGATCCTGTTTTCCAGTCTCTGCCTCTGGGGCAGACGTGCTTCTCTTCAGTCTGCTGCACACCAGCTCTGGAAGCTGCTGCAGCCCTGAGACAAACCATGGGCTGCTGCGCTTGTCTCACTCCCCTTTTTTCTTCCTGTCGCTCTCACTTTCTCTCTGTTTTCTATCTCTCTCTCCTTACTGTTTTTTTTTCCCTCTCTCTCGGGTTCTCTCCATTTCTCTGTCTCTCTCTTGCTCGCTCTGCTTCCCTTTGGTCACGCCAAAGCAGCCCTCCCTCAGCATGGGCATCCAGGGTGCCCTGGGGAAGGGAAGAGGCCAGAACCTCAGCGAAACAGCCCTCTTGGGAGAAAAAAGGGAGAGACAGGGGACCTCTCTCTCTCTCTCTCTCTCTCTCTCTCTCTATCCTCCTCACCCTCTCTTTCTGTCTGTACAGTTGAGTTTAATCCCTTGAAAAAGATGCAGCCCATCCTCTCCTCCCACATTGAACCTTTACCTGCTCTACCTGTGTAATTGCTGGTGTCTAGCTGCAGTTTTTTTTCTCTTGTCCTTGTTGAGAGCCAGTCAAGAACTTATATTATTGATGTTGTGTGGTAATACACTCCAGATTTTTCCAATCTGTGCCCACAGTTGCTTTACCAAGCAACAGTGTTGGGGACGTGATGTTTGCTGTGATGGATACAGTATCTCAAGAAACATTCAAGTCTGTGCAAGTTGATTTCTATAATTCACTGAAATGAATGGTAATTAATGGCTGCCTGGAAGGGAGGAAAAACACTAACAGAAATGCAAAGAGAAACTGTGACAAGCTTGATTGTTGGCAGTGATATAAAGTGAAGGTGTGTTTTGTAACAAAAGGATGAAACATGCAGAAATGCAATTTAGAGAATGACTGTGTAAGACCCTGCACAAAACACAGTGAACTTACAGTACTCAGCAGAGTGCAAACCTGCCAACCACAGCCAATTATTAAACGCTCCAAGCTACAGCCTCCATCATAGTTTATTGTTTGTCTTTTTGGTTTTGATTTCCTGACATCAAGAGCGCTGCATTCACGTCATTATTGGTTGTCTTCGCATTTACAATGTGGTTACACCGTGTTTAGTACACACGCATCACAGTCAATGAAAAGACAGGAAATCTTCCATCAAGTGTGGGTTGGATTCAAACATGGGCTGTGCTCATTTTAACACTTTAGGAATGAAAATCAACTCTCATGATTTTACAGTGTAGGAAGCAGACTGGCTGCAGAACGAAATGAGCCATGTAGGTTTTAAAAAAAATAATTATCCTCGCACTTTGCTGCCACATTTTACATTTTCAGCTTGACCTCAGTATGACTCCTTAACTACACTAAAGTAGAAGCTATTTGATATACTACACACGGTGTTTGACAGAACTACACACAGCATGTCTGCCAAAAACAAACAAGAAAATATTGGCAGTATCAAATGAAATGCTGTATGACAGATTTTAGGATGCATTTCTAAAGTAAACAGCTGCAATTTTATCGGTGCAGACTGCAAATAAGTAAAATAGATAGAAATTCTTGATTTTAGCTTTCTTTGATTTGACAAAATAAAGAATACAGTGAAACAATATTACGTAAAACTGTTGCATTTGCAATGGCCCTTATGATTGGGAAGTACTAATGTAAAGGAAATTTGTTGTATTTTTCATATTTTGGCATGTACGATGGGACAAAAATGTGCCGCATAGAGTATAAGGACCCACCAGAAGTACAAAGAAATGTGATCACACATAACAAAATGACCCCTATGAGCTTTGTGAAATGCAAATGCGCGACCCAACGGGGAACCTAACTTTCGTTTACAAGACAAACAAAAGCAGGCATGTTTTCTTAAACTCTGCAAAGAATGCCCATTTCTCTCTGTCTTCTCCCTTCTCCCGTCCAGTGTGTGTGGCAGCATTTCTGCTGATAAGACCCCGCTAGGAGGTGGAACAGATGTTGCCCTGATATCCATCTGGGCCTCGTACCCCTGCTCTGCCTCCCACAGCTGGTGCTCCACGCAGGTCACCCCACATTCCCGGCCCCTCACAGCAAGGGGCTGCTCCCACAAAAAAAAAAAAAAAAAAACTGCTCTCCTCCTCAGGATCGTCAAGCAGTGACGCAGCACAGAAATCAGCCTTGATGCTGCTTTCACTCATCCATGTGTGCATGTGTGAGAGCGAGATGCCAGTCAGTCATCAGACAGGATCTCTGGGTTCATTCGAGGTGTTTCCTCTTTGTTTCAACACTCTCCTGCCTTCATGACTCTCACACACACGCACACACACGCACACACACGCACAAACACGCACAAACACGCACACGCCCCTTTGAAAAACAAACACAAGTGACGGAAATGCATCAATATGATGTAAGCTAGTGAGGAAATGTTCCCTGGACTAAATAATCAGTCCCAGATATGTGAGACGATTACACCAAAGAGTCACAAAATGTGCAGCACGTTGACATCCTGACTGGTGTCCCTCCACATATTTTGATTTTTTTTTTTTTTTAATTAACCAGCAATCTGGCAGTTTTGTTTGTCCTTAGGCTGTGAGAACTTCATATGTCAATTTTATTTGAATTTACTGGATTAATAGACATTTTTTAGTGGCCAAACAATACTGGTGTGAAATAGTAATGGCAATAATTTCAGATTTTGATGGTTAGGACTCTCCACTTAAACCCAAATGGCTTAAAGTTAATTATTTAAAATGAATATAAATCTACTTTTTTTTAGAATTTACAGATTATAAGACCTGTATACTAATGTCAAACACACACACACACAAGCCCATAATGCTTACGGTGCACTAAGTAACAGCAAAAAACAATTCTTAAAACCTTGCCTGACAGCAAATAGACTTGTTTTCTTTTTGTTTTACTTTCAAATACTTTTATTTTCAAATGTTTACTGCAAATACTACGTCACCAACATCCTTGTTATTGAATATATTCAGTGATTTATCAGTAACTTACAGCTGTTTTTTTTTTATCCGCTGTGTGATTTCAGATGTGCAGCGGGAGATTCGTCAGAGCCGACCTCCCTCACTCTGAATGTGACGGCAGAGGAATCCCTCCTGTCGTGCATGGGATCCTGCAGGTTTGTGGTCAAGCTGTAAAACAAATGAATCTATCAAACCTGATAGAATGTGCATGAGTTACACGCCTGCCAAGCAGTGGGTGAACACACTCTGCAGCAACATGCAACAATCATTATTACCACTAATTAATACTAAAGTTTCTGTTTCTTTTTCCTTCTGCACTTGAGTTTAACCCATAATTAAATTTAGGTTCACATAAGGTTAAACTTGGCGTAGAAGATTCAGTTTCAATACATCTGATATAAAGATCATGATACACAAGCACATTTGAGTATATTAAATCAGTCGGAATATATTTAAGTAATTTAATCAGAAGGGGAAATTGAAGATATTGGGCACCGAACCAGCTGTCATTTCTTTCCAATCAAACCGGTTTGGACAGGGAATCCTTTATTCGCACGAGTCCAGCAGGGCTAGAAGCTCAGACTTTCTCATTATTTCTTCACATTTGTTTCTGTTAAATGTAAGAATGCAGAAACCCTCACAAATGTGTCTATTCCTGGAACAGATGTGGCCTGCTGAAACTTGTGAGCTCTGCCTTCCCCAAACTTCATCCACTGCCTCAGATTTATGAACCGGGATCTTCACGGATTAGAGTCTGAAAAACTCCCTCTGCAACTGATCCACAGCAGGTAAATCTTAGTGAATGTGAAGTTTCACAGGTGACTATGATCTGAGTTTGATTTTCTGTCTTTTTATCTACCACAGAACTTCTGGATCTCTCTTTTTCTGTTCCTACATTAGAGCAATGACACAGGTAAGTAGAAGTACTGCATTCAAAATCGTACTCAAGTATTAGTATTAGCAGCAAAATGTACAGTATCATAAGTAAAAGTGTTCATTAGTCAGCAGAAAGCCCCTTGTGTGATATTATTTTATTGGATTAGTATTATTGATGCATAATAATCATTTTATTTAATGCTGTGGCTGGTTAAAGTAAAGCTTAATATAATGTCGGGTTGTTCAGTCTATAACAATACATCATATTTTATGAGGTAATATATTTTGCATGTCATTTGTAAGAACTGATTATAATGCTCAAATGTTGTGGACAGTTGAAGCACAGCATTAGCCTCTGAGCTGTAGTGCTATAGACGAGTATAGAATGGACACACTCAGGTAAAGTATAAGTACCTCAAAGCCTCTGCCTTTAAAAACCTTCCAGCTGGTGAATTTTCAACTGAGGATAGTG